CCAGTACCAGGCATGTCCTCCAATCAGCAGGCCTCCTCCCTCTGCCACAAAGTTTTGGATTTCCTCCAAATGCTCAGTGATATACGCTGTACACACAAACACGCTGAGGTCTTTCCTGAAGTTTGTCTTCTCGCACTTCAGCCCTGACTCACTCAGAACTTTGAGTGCAGGATCCACCATGACACCAACAACCCCTTTGCGCCCTTCATCCAACCAGTGAATGGCGTTTCTCCAAAATGGAGCCATGCTCTAAAATGAAAGGAAAGCAGCAACAAAGGCTGTCATGTGTATGTGTGATATACAAAAAAGTCCAATCAGCATACAGTTCATTTTCTCACTTTTTTCCACTCTGAGGTTTATTACATAACCTCATTAAAGTAAGTGTTTTTTTGAATTTGAAAGTTGTTTTGCCAGTACTCCATCACACTTAAACCCTCCACCACACTGATTGTGATTGTGACAGACTGCTGGTGGAAACAAATGTCGTGTGACACAAATGCATTTGTAAATGTACAACATGAATAAATTCTTATGTGTTGATTTTGACTTAGAAGGTCTTAAAATTTCAGAGTTATTTTTCAGAGCAACTATACCTCAAATTTCAGACATCCTTCATGTGTAACCGCAATGACCCGTCCTCGCCCGTAGTAGGCTCCTGCCAGGAATGGTCGTCCATCTTCTGTAGTGCCGATGGGAAAGGCTAGTGGGCTGTGGACTAGAACCTCAGAACACAGATACTCAGAGGGGAGGTTGAATTCTGAAACCCCCTGGAGTAAGAACTCCAAGTCATCCTTAAAATCCCTGCCTGTCCTGTATTTAAAAGGTCAAAGAGGAACAGGAAAGACAATACATCAAAGTGAAATCAGAGTCTTTTTACTAAAAATCTGTTGTTGTTGTTTTGTTTTTTTACCTTATTTGTCATTATGAAATTAAAGTGTAAAATGTTTAATCTCTAAAATCAATGTCCTCAAAAAATATATTAATGTTGTAAAATAACAATTCAATTGAATTTAACTCTAAATTGATTCTACATTTGATCAGTAACTGACAAATAAATAACATTTGCCAAAATTAAACAAAAAAAAGCTGTTTATGAAAAAATAGGAAACTTTAAGCCACATTATTTTTTAATCTCAATTTTTGAAAACTACACAAAGTGTGTACTAGGACAAAAAAAATTTTTTTTTTCAAATAATAGATCAAATGTATTATTTCATTATAATTAAAAAATTCCTGTGATGGACTCATGGAAAAATGTAAGTTGAATTGATGGACAAAACAAGGAGGAAAGAAGAAAAGGAGAAAAAAATATTAAATGTATGATGTTGAATTGTGAGTTATAAAATAAAAAAGTTTGATTTACTTCAAAAATGAGCCCACAAAAAAAAAGAGAAATTGTTTAAAAGGTCTGTGGCAGTAGACTGTGTTTCTCTTTAGAGAATCCAAACACAGACACTTCGGGGAGGGACAGCATTTAACAAAAAACATGCAGTTTATTGAAGGCAGAGCACGAAAGTACAAAGTAAGAGAAACCAAAACCAACAGCTAAACTAAACTGGGAAGAAACTAAACTAGGAGCAAGGGTTAGACAAGCGTCTTAGAAAATTTATTCCTGGATAATACAATAAAAAGTAAAACTAATGGGAAAAAAAACTTTATATAAAATTTTAATTTTTATAAAAGCTATTTCTACTTAATAATTAGGTAATGCAAAGGAATAGATTCAATGCCAAATTTCACTTTAATAAAATTGTATCAAACAAGAGAGAAAAAATGTTTTCACATTAAAAGTTATTATCTGAAAAGTGGAACTTCTAGAAATCTGCAGTAAAACAGAACTCTAGCATATACTCACGCTAATGACATCCAGGAGGACGAGATCTGAGGGTAGACGGGCAGGTTCTCCGCCTCACCATAACGCTCAGTGAAGTAGATTCCTGCCACTCCCGACACTTTATTCCCATCAAACTGATGCAGTGTGTTCTCTTTGGGGTGATTTGCAGCCCAATTCCACGCCTGTCCAGCTATCAGCACCCCTCCTCCAGCTTTCAGAAATGCCACCAGGTCTTTTGGGTCTGAGCCCACGCTGTAGGCATCGGTCACATAAACGCCAACTCCCAGTCTGTCACTGAAGGCTCCCACAACTTCTACTTGGAAGCTGGATTTTTTTAGGCTATTAGCAGCTGCACTGACATTTCTGTGCACCCCTACAGAGAGGTTATCAGATCCATCACCTCTCAGCCAGGTCAGAGCATTTTCTACCAGAGCAGGAAAGGCTTTCAAGTAGCCCTCATGACCCAGGACCACAATCCTTCCACTGCCGTACAGAGAGGCAGCCATCAGCACCTGACCTCGGCTGTTCATTGCTAAAGGAAAGGCATGGTCTCCAATCAGGACCAGGTCACTGGGAACACAGGGTCCCTGTAGGTCCAGCTCCTTCAGGCCTCTCATCAGGGAGGCGTAGGCCTCTTCATGTTTGATTTTGAATGACTGGTTAGATGACATAGTGTAGAGGATTTATACTCTGTAGACTGATGAAGAAGGTGAAGGTTAGGATGCAGGAAAAAAGGTTTTTAGCACATCAGCTTTAATAGTTTTTCTTACATATATGTATGCCAAGCTAAGTTGATGGATTTAAAAAAGACTCACTTAACATAAAAATAAAAATATTATTCTTTTGTTAAACATCAAACCTCAAAGCAAATTTTCAAACTGTAGGTGGTGAGAAAATAAAAAGCTGTTCTCCACTGATCTCATTACAACCGCACACAACTTACTTTTACTTACAAAAACTTACAAAAACTTTACTTTTGTCTTTTTGGTTACCTGAACGTTGCCTTTCTGTAGTACAACAGCTTTAAAGAAAAACACCAGGAGCTCTACCAGACAGGACAGGAGAAGGAATGTAAAAAGAGCAGGGAAAGGTGATGTTTATATCAGAAGATATGACAAGAAGAGGAGGGACTTTAGGGAGGACAAACAAGGAAATAACTACTGATGAGAGACAGCTCCTTTTATGTAAGTATGTATATAAATGTACTCAATTATATTCCGTCACAGACCGATGTGTTAGTTTTCTTTGCTATTTGAGTTCAGACTTGTGTTTGTTTTGTTTCTGTAAGACACAGAAAGTTCTTCACTCAGCACAAATACTGTGCAATCTTTAACTCATCATATACACCTTTATCATCAGAAGTTCACATTTACAATTGCAGTCCGCATGCCTCGAAATCAAACACACATGCCAAAGCAAGTTGAGACAGATTACCACTGGCTTTTGAGCTACTTGACAAAAAAACAAGTACTCCCCCTTTTGGCTCAGGCTTACTGATCATCACTGTGACCTCAGTGCACAGGCTGGTGGGTTTTTAGTTACTGAAGACAACTTGTCTTGACAAAGCCCCTCTTTGGAAACAAATGAGTTCCTAAACTATTTCCCTGCAAGCACTACATTTATAACATTAACAACAGAGTAAGTTATTTTTGTATTTGAGTCTGTGTGAATGTGTTTTAGAGAGCCTGCCCCTTTCCTCTTGGATGCCCCAAGTGCTCTTTTCGTGAGGCGTTTTTATTCATTTATTTATTTATTAAATGTGTGTGTGCATGTAGAGCAGGGGTCCCCAACTCCAGGCCTCGAGGGCCAGTGTCCTGCAGTTCTTAGATGTGTCCTTGATCCAACACAGCTGATTCAAATGGCTAAATTACCTCCTCAACGTGTCTTGCAGTTCTCCAGACACCCTTGCCCTTGTGAATCAATCCCTTGCCAACCAAGGAGGCATCTGATGACACAACCTGGTGACAAAGGATTGGGACCAGAATGCTCTTTTCATATTGATTAGCCCTTCCCACCAATGGGGAGTTACCTGCAACCTACACATCACAGTAATCTGGTTTTCAGGTGCTTCTAAGCCAAAGGGCAAAGTCCCAGTCCAAAGAGATATTGCTGAACACGACACATGTTCAGAAGAGCCAGTGGGAATATGTATACTGTTGCTGCCATTAGCCCCATGTTGCAGAAGGTATGGGTATAACCTCCAGGTCACTCGTGACACCAACTAAATCTGGAACAAGCAAGTCCTGAGGGTGGCATATCTCACAGGGGTTAACAATAAGGTCCCTCTCCTGGCATCCAGCCACATGTATAAGAATTCTGTGGCTTGAATGGCCTTAAGTCTGCTTTTCCTCGTGTCTAGGTTCTCTAAGTGCTGTGGCACTGCTCCTCTGAAAGAGCATTCAAGCCAGCTGTCTGCATAACTCCGACCAGTGATGGGCTTTAGAAGGCTTAACATACTGCCTGAGCACCAAATCCTTCAGATCAAGAACCAGCTGTACTGAAGATAGTCAGGAAGACCCAACCCTGTCATTTTCCAAACAGAATTGCCACTGAGATGACACTCTATATTTGTGCAGGGAGAAATCCAAGAACAATTTCAAAAATTGGAGATTAGTATGTAGCATCATTTGACCATGACCAGCATTTTCACTTGTTTATCATAACTTCCTAAACCACACATTTCTGAGAGAGCCAGAGAGAACCAAAACAAGCAAAAACAACAAAATAACAAACCCCTCCCAGGTCACAGTCCCAAAGTCAGACCGCGCATCCAATGCAATAAAAAGAAAACGCCACAAAACAGTCTCAGGTGGCCCCTCACTACAACAAAAGAGTTCAGGTGGCCTACCTCGGGTCCCGTGATGGCAGTAGGACGCTTTAGGTGGCCGATCTCGAGTCCAGTGGCGGCGGCGTTGCAGCTCCGGCGGGCTGCCATGGGTCCGGCAGCAGCGGCGAAACAGTTCCGGTGGCCTGCCACTGATCCAGTGGCGGCGGCGCTGCTCCTCCGGCGGCTTGCCCCGGGTCCAGTGGCGGCGGCGCTGTAGCTCTGATGGCACGCTCCTCCTGAGGGGAAAGTGTGTGTGTGTGTGTGTGTAATGGTAACAAAACTTGTACTCACTGCTGTAGGCTTCGAGACAGCACCAACCTCTTTAAGTATGCTGCAATAGGTCTAGACTGCTGAGGGAGTCCCATGATACTTCTTCAGCCACCTTTTTCACTTACTATGTGTTTATACACCTCTGCGTTTAATTATTCTTCAATTATTCAAGCGCCTTGAGGCGACTGCTGTTGTGATTTGGTGCTATATAAATGAAATTGATTTGAATTGAATTGAATCTCTGGCTCTCTTCCACAGCATATCTTGGTCCTGTCTTCCTACCCTCATCCCAACCCCTCGCAGCAGATGGCCGATTTTCCCTGAGCTTGGTTCTGTTGGAGATTTCTTCCTATTAAAAGAGTTTTTCCTTCCCACAGTCACCAAAACGCTTCCTCATATGATTGTTGGATTTCTCACCTTTTTGTATTACTGTATACAAAAGGTATTTTATAAATTTCAGGTTCTGTATTAGGACCAATACTACTTATGTTACTCCTATTTAGGCAGTATTATTAGAAAACACTGCATACATTTGCATTGCTTTGCACATGACTCTTAACTGCATATACCCATGAAACCAGATGACACAAAACTAATTAACTAATTGTCAGAGTTCTCTCACTTTTTTGTATTATTGTATACAAAAGGTATTTAAGTCCATTGAAGTGGTTTGCGTCATATGTATCTAATAGTCTCTAATTTGTCCTTATAACTAATTATTATTTTACACACACACACACACTCACATCTGTGTTTGCAAAGGTAACAAACCTTGTACTCACCGGGCGAAAAAGAGGAACAGCAAGGGGTAGCAACACATCTCATTAGACCAGCCACTAATAAGATAAGAATGCCCCAAGAACAATGTGAAGTAGATAGGATTGCTAATTATTCATGTTACTTGGAATATCTCGGTGCAGAAGAGGTCCTTGAATCTCCTTGTTGTTTTCTTTATTGACAACAATGAAAGCAGTAAAAGAACTGCTCACTCCTGATTGGACACTCGGCTGCACCACCTTCTTTTTTACTTCTTCTTTTTTCTCATTGTTTTCTGCTTCCATCTCTAGCAAGCAAATAAGAGTCCGAGCAGCTAACCTGTGGACTATTAAGCTACAGACAAGAGAAAATATTGGTATGGTGACATGGTCACAATTACCATGTAATTATCATGTTACATGCAAAGTGAACTATTGTAAAGTTATTATCTAATAATTCCAGTGGATTAACAGCTCATTTACCCAGTGTTCTCTGCAGGTCTGAGACTGAAGTGCAGCTGGTTCTCAGAGGGATGACCTGCCAGGCTGTACTTCAGCGTCACACAGCCCTCTGCTGCCTCTGAGCTCTGACACAGAATTACAGTGTCAAACCAATTTCATCTTTTCGAAACATAACAAGCATAAACACAGAGATCTACACTGTGAGAAGATGGTGCTGCTACCTGTCCAGTAAGCTGGGCATAAATCAGTGACCTTTGACCCTGGAAAATGGTTGTGATTGGTGGAGAGAGGACAGTGATAGTGGATCCCTTTGGTAAATCCCATGTAACAGAAACATCTTCCACAGCTGGTTGCAGGAAAAAATTGCTGCGACTGCATCACCTGATGAGAACAAAAACTGAAATCATATCTTCTATCCAATAAAAAAAAAAAAAAACACAAATCATTTTTTGCTGTAATTGTTATGACTCATTGTCTTACTTTTGGTTCCTGTTAGTCCCTGTGATGAACTGAGCATGACCTCCTCCTTCCTTGGCCATCCCATTGATGAGAGCAGAGCTGGCCCCTTCCCCAATCCCAAAAGAGAAACACCTGCAATACAACAGCTGTTTTTAAAAGACACAGGTTTGATACGCAGCACATGTCGTCATCTTTTTCTTCTTTTACCTGTGGGAACCTGAATTCTTCTTAACCAGAGCGATCACTTCTTTGGTGTTCCCCACCTCTCCATCAGTAAAGACAAACAACTAAAGAGGAGAGTTTACACACAGTTTTTCATCTACAAGAGCTGAAACACAACTCTCTGATATGTAATCAAGTATGCAGTCAGTAAACTGTTTTAACCAGTAAAAAAAGAGAAGAAGCTTTAAGCAAGACTGAGAGGAACAGTAGGAGCCACTCAACAGATCAACTCGTGTATAATTAGCAGATTATATGAGACTGATACAGGGCTTGGTTCATGGTCAACTTAAATGTTGGAGTAATGAATGAGAAAAAAGGAAGGACTAAGGATGACATCATTAAGGCGTTGTGTGTGTTTGTGTGTGTGTGTGTGTGTGTGTGTGTGTGTGTGTGTGTTTATAAGTAGTTTTAAACCTTGTGATCCACAAAACAGCATAAGAGTAAAAGATGAACTGACTGCCTTACAGTCAGTGCGGGAGCAGTGGCTTCGCTCATGCGTGATTCATTTGCAGTTTGGACTCATAGGTGTGAACATCTCCTGCCCTGATAGCAGCTGAGGGAGGACTATCCTCCACCCGTGAGCGCTTTGGCACGGGCGAGGTGCCCACGGCAGCACCTGCTGCTTGTTGAGAGTAGGAGCAATACACGCTTTCACGTTAAAAGTCATCATAAATAAGTTTCCAATAACAATAGAAAAAGTCACCAGATTTGTCACTAGTTGCTTTTTTAGTTCACTGAGAGACTGAGAGTACCGAAAAGCACCACTGAACGACACAGGAAATCTTTCCTGCCTGTGGCCATCTCCCTGTACAACGCATCCACTTAACACACTGGTTACTGCTACAACTACACATGTTTCTTTTCCAGCTATTTATTAATGACTGACTTATGTATATATATATATATGTATATATTGTACTATTCTTAGTTAGCGTATTGTCTGTCTTGTTAATGTTGGTTTATGTTGGTTTATAATGGAGCACTGTAACAAACATATAATTTCCCCCAGGGATCAATAAAGTATTCTGATTCTTTTTACTTCTCTAAACATACTTTTCACATCTCAAAATCCTGAAGAGAAAACGTAGATGCTAAGAAGTAAAAACAGATAAAGGCTGTTCTAACAATAACTGAGATATGAAGACAGCTCATCACTTTTTCTGTTTTCATGCTTTCTGTTGTTATGGCATAAAGTTAAAATACTTTGGTCATTAAAAAACAAACCTTCTAGGATTAGATGTGTGATGGTGTAATGTCGTTTAGTTTATTACAGTAAAATTGTGAATCTATTTTTGTAAAATAATTT